CTCCTCCTACTCCTCCTCCTCCTCCTGCTCCTCCTGCTTCCTGCTCCTCCTGCTTTGAGCGCCCAGGGGGGGAACTTCTTTGTTTTCCCGGGGGGGGGGGGAGCGTGGAACACGGGTGCACCCATCAGTAGGGACACACTGCTTGCGTTACAACTCGCGGCCGAAATCTGCAGCAGGAGTGCCTGGAGGAAAGCTTCTGGCTGTCTGCCGCTGGAGTACAATTTCCGGCCGTGCTGGCAGGTGTGTGGGGGAAGTGAGAGGGGGTGGGCCTTCTCAGAAGGCTCGGAAAATCCCCCGGCCTTCTGAGAAGTTCTCTTGAAGCCTTCTTCCCCGAAGACACAGGAAAAACGTCACGGCAGGCCCGGGGACTTCTAAGAAGCCCCGCCGCCTTCTGAGAAGGCCTCCTCCTTCTCGCTTCCCCCCTCTGAGGGGGCCCAGGGACGCACAAATACATAGACACAAACTCCAGGATTCCCAATGTTCTTCAATATCTTCTGGAGTCTCGTCTTCCCCCCCACTTCCCATGTTTCCCCGTAGTTTCCTGGGAATCGACGACTAGTTGTGCCTATGTATGTTTTTGTTCATTCCCGACCCTCGCTCGCCGCCGAGTCCTGATGGCGGTGCGGATGCTCGTGGCGGCCTCGGGCGCGCCACCCTGCAGGACCTGGGCGGACAGGAGCCGGACCTTGCCGAGGTAGTCGTCCAGGTCAGGCCCGGGCTTGATGCGATTCACCTGCTTTAGGAGGCAACTGCTGGGAGGTTTTCGTCGGAAAGATTAAGGAGAATCAAGCCCCATTTGGGGGCTATTACGCCGGAGTGGGCCTCGGAGTAAGCGGGATTAAACCGGATTAAGCGGGATTAAGCCAGATTAAGCGGGATTAAGCGAGATTAAGCCGGATTTCGGACCAGGGCAAGATCAGAATTTGACCTCCCAGGAGTTGCATCCGAACCTGCTGGTCGATGCCGACGAGCTCACCTAGAAGAAGAAAAACGCCACAGGCATAAGCTTGTGGCACTCCGCGCGGACTTCTTTGCATCCGCGCTGGAGCCCCCTCCCTCGCGTGTGGAGCGCGCCAGGGGTGGCGCCGGAGGCGCCGCCTGGGGGGCCCAGCGCGCATCCAAGAAATCCGCACGGAGCGCCAGAAGTTTATGTTTATGGCGTCTTTTCTCTTTTTCGATCACCGGCAGCTGTGACGATGGCGTTGGTGAGGTTACCGGCGGTGCCCCAGCAGGGAAGCGGGAGGCGGTCCATAGTTCGATGATTCTCAGAACGCGTGTGAGCCCCAACGTTTGTCCATCGAGGACCTTCGATACGACGCAGGCGATGCAATGTTAGGTCGGGCCTGTCCCCCTACAGGTGGATTTTGGACGAGAAATCTAAAAACACTCCAAAAATATGCATAAGATGCCCAACAGTACCCCAAAAATAGTCCCCATACGATTGTTAGACTACTCTTGAACATTCCCCCTGTAGAGGGACAGGCCCGATTGAAATGTAATGATCTACTGGTTGGGCTGAAGGGGGCAAACACACATTGGGCTACCTAGGGCTCCCAACTTCGCGCTTCGCGCTCCGCGAAGCGCGAAGCGCGAATAACTTCGCGCCCTCGCGCCGCCCCCCCAAAGGGAGAAAAGGAGGACGAGGAGGAGGGGGGAGAAGGAACGAGGACCGCGAAGCGCGAAGCGCGAATAACTTCGCGCCCTCGTGGGAGCCCTTGGCTAACACACGTCCTGAGGATCATCGAATGTTGTTGAGGAGCAGGTCCAGGGCGCAGAGGTGGCCCAGGCCCGCGAGCAGGGCCGGCGAGGGGGCGCGCAGCGCCGCCGCCGCGGTGTCCAGCGAGGCGCCGGGCACGAACTCGAGCACGGCGCACGTGGCGGGCTGGAGCATCGCCCTCAGGCGCGCCGCAGCCTCGGCGTCCACACGGCATCATCCTCCTCATCCTCATCCTCATCCTCATCATCATCATCATCATCATCATCATCATCATCATCATCATCCTCATCCTCATCCTCATCCTCATCCTCATCCTCCTCCTCCTCATCATCATCATCATGATTATTATCATCATCATCATCATCATCATCATCATCATCATCATCATCATCATCATCATCGTCATCGTCATCGTCATCGTCAGCATCATCATCATCATCATCATCATCAGCAGCAGCATCATCATCATCATCATCGTCAGCATCATCAGCATCATCAGCATCATCATCATCATCATCATCATCAGCAGCAGCAGCAGCATCATCGGCATCATCGTCATCAGCATCATCATCATCGTCATCGTCATCATCGTCATCATCAGCAGCATAATCACCACCCTCAGGCGCGCCGCAGCCTCGGCGTCCACGGTATCCAACTTCTGCTCGATCTGGGCCATTTCCTGCTCGATGCCTGCACTTCGCCAGCGCTTGGAGGCCTCATGGATTGCGCGGCACTCTTCGCTTCCTGCGAGCACCAGTCGCATGCGAGCCACGCGGACGCCCAGTGCTGCCGCCAAAGCATCAGCAATGATCTCCGTAACAACTGAAGGGCCACTCCTAACGCAGACCGCGGTACCACCGGCCAGCTCCACGACGTCGACACCGCCAGCCCCGCTCAATCCGCCGACCCTTCGAGCCAACCTGCGTGTGAGACTCTTCCTTCTGTCGTCACCCCCACCAATCCGAAATTCGGCGGCGAGCGAAGGGGGGGAGTGAGAAGAAGAGGAAGAAGGCCTTCTCAGAAGGCGGCGGGACTTCTCAGAAGCTCTCGCGCCTCCTGAAAGGTTTTTGCTGTCTCCGGGGAAGGCTTAGAAAACTTCTCAGAAGGCCAGGGGGCTTCCGCGACTCCTGAGAAGGCCTTCTCCTTCTCACTTGCCCCCCCTCGCTCGCCGCCGATTTCGGGGAGGGTGGACTGGCAGGCAGTTGCCTCGGGTGTGGGGGTGGGAGGCTCGATGAACGGGAAGCACAACGGCCGATACTCCGCATGCAGCTCCCGTGATGCGCTCCGACCAGGATGCCGAGGCGAATCCGGCCTCGGCGACGGTCGCCCCCCACGAGGGGAGAGCCTCGGCATCGGCTAATTACGGGCATCCGTTCCCTCGCCATCGCTCGGACGTCCATTTCCCGTGCATTTTCCGGTTTCGTGCGTGTTTTTTTTTTGCTCGATTGTCCAGGATCGTCTTCAATGGTTCTCGCCGAGAAAAAATGCACACGCCCGAGCGATGCCAGGGCTCCACCCCGCCGGCGCGAGACACTGCAGGTGCAGGGGGAGGGCCTGCGGGCACGGCAGGGCACGGCACGCGGGCACGACAGAGGCACGCGGGCCGCGCCACCTGCTCCTCGCGAGCCCCTGCACGGCCACGGGGCCCGAGGCGCACGCGAGGAGGAGGAGGAGGAGGAGGAGGAGGAGGAGGAGGAGGAGGAGGAGGAGGAGCGAGCCTCGCGCCACGGCGCGACGCGCGGGCACGCGCCGCGGCACGGGCCCGCCGCGTCGCGAGACGCTCCGTGGCCTCCCTGCGCCGCTGGGCTCTCCCGGTGCCCCTGGGGCCTCCCCGGGGGGGGGGGGGGCCCTCGGGCTCCAGACGGCGGCACGCCGTCTTGGGAAGGCGGCCCCAAGGAGGGCGCCGGAAGCCCCACGAGGGCCAGGAAGCCCTGGCGCGATTTCAGGAGGACCCGGGAACCACCGAGACTGTCAAAACTCCAAGGGCACTCCATCTGTTTCCCCGCTTCTCGGCCGACCATGGCTTTTATACGGATTCAGAGGCCCCCCAGAGAGCCTCGAGGGTCCACCAGGGACGCTCAAGACAGCCTCCAGAGGAGGCCTAAATGCATCGAAATGCCAAAATAGGCCCCCAAGACGGCGCTAAGACAGCGCCAAAGATCCCCCCAACAGGCCCCAGGACGCTCCGAGACGGCTCAAGAGGATCAAGATCCTGCCAAAAGGGCCCCCCCAAGTGGGCCCCAAGAGCCGCCCCCCGAGTGTCCCAAGTCGACCCGAGAGGGCCCCCAGGGAGCCTCCAGACGGCCCCAGAGCCCCGAGCAGCCAAGAATGGTCCGAGTCACCTCACCCGCGGACTCAACGCGCCGACGCCAGGGAACGTGCCGCGCACAGCCTCAATAGAGAACGGAGCCGTCCTGCAGGCAAAGATCACGAGGGGGGATTGCTTGGCCTCCGCGAGAACTCTGCATCCCCACGCCACCGAAAACGATGGCCGGACGATGGCGCGCATGTTAGCCCAACTGATAAGCCGTTTAGACCGTCGGCGCCCTTGCCGCCACACAGATGCGTGCCGAGGAGCGCCGAGTCCCAGGGCACCGAGGCTATGTCGTGACCCCGCAGCGCCGGCAGCCGGGACTCCAGGTCGCGCTTCCTGGCCTCGAGCTCCTTGGCGCGCGCGATGGCCTCCAGGGCATCGCGCCTCTCGCGCTCCGTCCGCTCCCGCTTCTGCTGCTGCCAGGGAGCCTCCCCGCCCGAGGGGGCCGCCGGGGGCGGCGGCGGCGGCGGCCCGCCTCTGCCCTTGCCCTTGCCGCCCATGCTGCCCCCGGGGGCCCGGCGCCCGGCGCCCGGAGCCAGAAGCGGCTCCGCGGGGGGGGGGGGGCGGGGGACGAGGGAGGAGAGAGGGGAACGAGGGAGGGAGGGAGGGGGCTTGAGGAGGGGAACGAGGGAGGGAGGGGGGGGAGGAGAGGGGGCGAGGAACGAGGAAGGAGGCTCCAGGGAGGGAGGGAGGGAGGGGAACGAGGGAGGAGGGAGGAGGACAAGAGAGGGAGGGAGGAGGCTTGAGGGGGGGCAGGAGGGATGAAGGGGGGGAAGGGGCGAGGGAGGCCGCGCAGAACTCCCGAGAAGCCCAAAGAACAGCTTATAATCTCTGACACCTCCACTCTCCTCCTCCTCCTCCTCCTCCTCCTCCGTAGCCATCTTGGCTGAGGATGTTCCACTGGGGGGCTGTTCAGCCTCCGCGCAGCACTGACGCCGCTGAGCCGCGGCCAGGCTCCCAAGTTTTGCCTTGCGTGGGCCTGCTGCCTGCTTTCTCTGACATGTCCAACGCTGTCAGTTCGGCAACGAGCACAGTACGTCGTCGAAATGAGTGGATGTTTTTATTAGCCCTCAGCACGATGAAAGCACCCCACCAAAACGGCCGAAGATGGGCCTAAGATGGCCCAAGACGGCCCAAGAGGCCTCTGAGAGGGCCTCCAGGAAGGAAGGCCCGAAAAGGCCAAAATCATTGATTTCCCATGGGTTTTTGAATGATTGTGGCATTTGTTTGTTTCGGCCTTCCGACGGCCCGAGACGGCCCAAGTGCCCCCAAAGATCTCCCAAGAGGCCCAAGACGGCCCCAAGACGCCCCCAAGACCGCCCAAGAGGCCTCCAAGACGCTCAAGATGGCCTCCAAGACGGCCCAAGAGCCTTCCAAGATGTCCTCCAAGAAGGCCCGAAAGGGTCAAAATGGCCTCCAGACGGCCAAGATGACCTTCAAGATGCACACGTGTTCCCCGAAGGCTTTCCAAACCGATTCGGGGAACACATGGTCCGATAGCTTGGCAGGTCTGGCCTCAACGTTCGGCCACATAGGCGATTCCAAAAAGGCAGGGGGCGGCGGTGATTCGCCGTAGGCGTCTTCGATCCGCCGCCCCCTGTTGGCTTGCAACAGGGGTGCCCGACGTGCTAGATCCTTGTGATGTTGGTTTTGGTGCTTTTCCAAAAGAACTCCCCCTGGGGCTTCGGCCAATCCCGCCGGGGTCCCGGAAAGGCCCCGCAACCACCTCAACGACCGAAAAAAATTCTCCAAGACGGCTCAAGATGACCTCTAAGATGGTCACGTTGGCCCGAGATGGCCTCCAAGATGGCCCGAGATGGCGTCCAAGTCGCCAAAGATGGTCCAGGATGGCTTCCAAGACGGCCCGAGAGAGTCCAAGATGCCTTCAAGTTCGTCCAAGAAGCCTCCAAGACGGCCCAAGATGGCTCCAAGATGGCCTACGAGTGGCCAAGAGGCCCCCAAGAGGCCTCCAAGACGTCCTCCAGAAGGCCCGAAAGGGCAAAAATCATTGCTCCTAAGGTGTTTAAGGGTTTGTGCATGTTCTTCTTATCAGCTCTCCGACGGCACAAGACGCCCCAAGAGGCCCCCAACATCGTCCCCAGAGCGCCCAAGAGGTCTCCAAGATGGCGCCATGACAGCCCAAGAGGCCCCCAAGAGGGCCCCAAGAAGAGCCCAAGACGGCCCATGGTGGCCTAGAAGACGCCGAAGATGGCCTCCAAGACGGCCAAGATGGCCTCCAAGATGCCTCCAAGACGGCCAAGAAGGCCTCCATGACAGCGAAGGTGGCCCCAAGATGCACCCAAGAAACGGCCCCAGATGGCCTGAAGATGGCCTTAGACTGCCCAGAAGGCCCGCCGGAGGCCTCCAAGACGGCCCAAGACCCCTCCAAGGCGTCCTCCAGGAGGCCCGAAAACTCGGAAACCACCTGATCCGATGGCTCGCCCGATTCCGTGTTCCCCGAAGGCTTTCGAAATCCACTCGGGAAACGCGTGGCCCGATAGCTTGGCCAAGCTCAAACCCAATTTTCGGCCACGCAGGCGCTTCCAAAAAGGCAGGGGGCGGCGGTGATTCGCCGTAGGCGTCTTCGATCCGCCGCCCCCTGTTGATTCATCACAGGGGTGCCCGGCGTGCTGCATCCTTTCGAATTTGGTTTTGATTCTTCTTCCAAGAGAACTCCCCTTGGGATTTCGGCCCCGCCCGCCGGGGTCCCGAAACGGCCCAGAAAGGGTGGCTCCAAAGGGTGTTCCTGCTCCAGATGGCTGCAAGATGGCTTCCAATATGACCAAGGTGGCCCAAGATGGCCTCCAGGTTCGCCCAAGATGGTCCAAGATTGCCTCCAAGACGGCCCAGGAGAGTCCAAGATGCCTCCAAGTTCGCAGCAAGAAACCTCTCAGACGGCCCAAGACGGCCCCAGAGGCATCCAAGAGGCCTCCAAGACGGCCCAAGAGGCCTCCCAGAAGTCCTCCGAAGAGGTCAAAATCCATGTTTTCCTTAGGTTGTTGAAGGATTTGGGCTTTTGTTCTTTTCGAGGCTTCCGACGGCTCACGACGGCCCAAGGAGCCCGAAAGATCGCCCCCAGAGCGCCCAAAAGGCCCAAGAGGCCCCCAAGACGGCCCCAAGAGAGCGCCAAGACGGCTCCAGAGGCCTCCAAGACGCCCAAGACGGTCTCCAAGACGGCCAAGATGACCTTCAAGATGCTTCCAACACAATCAAGATGAGCTTCAAGACCGCCAAGGTGGCCGCTAAGACGGCCAAGATGGCCCAAGATGGGCTCGAGAGGTTCCAAGATTGCCCCAGAGGAATCCAAGAGGTGCTCCAGGAAGGCCCGAGAGAGCCAAAATCTTCAATGTTCCTTGGGTGTTTGAAGGATTTGTGTCTTTACTCGGTTTTGGTGTTCCGACCGCCTAAGACGGCCCAAGGAGTTCCCAAACTAGTCCCAGGGTCCTCCAAGATGGCTCCAGGACGGCCCAAGAGGCCTTCCAGCCAGCCCCAAGAGGCCCCCTAAGACGGCCCAAAAGGTTTCGCAAACGGCCAAGATGGTCTCCAAGATACCTCAAGACTGCCAAGATGACCTCCAAGACGACAAAGATGGCATCCAAGACTGCGGAAATATCCCCAAGAGAGCCGAAGGTGGGCCAAGAGGCGCCCAATATGCCCCCAAGACAGCCCAAGATGCCTCCAAGGTTTCCTCCAGGAAGGCACGAAGAAGCCAAAATCAATGATTTCCCTTTGGTGTATGAAAGATTTTCGCATCTGCTTCTTTTCGGCCTTCCGACGATCCAAGACGGCCCAAGAGGACCCCAAGATCGCCCCAAGATCGACCAAGAGGCCAGCCAAGACGCCCCCAAGACGGTTCCAAGAATGCCCCAAGATGGCCTAATAGGCGTCCAACACGCCCGAGATGGCCTCCAAGTCGGTTCAGGAAGGCTCCGAAGACGGCTTCCGACGGCGTCAGACGGGCCAGGAACGCCCTAAGACGGCCAAAGAGGCCCCCAAGAAGCCCTCAAGAAGCCCCCGAGAGCTCCCAAGAGGCTCAAGGAAGCCCCCAAGAGGCCTCCAAGAGGCCCGAAAGGTGCCTCAAGAGGCTCCCAAAACGCCTCCTCCTCCTCCTCCTCCTCCTCCTCCTCCTCCTCCTTTTCCTGCTCCTCCTCCAATTCCTGATCCTCCGCGTCATGCTCCTCCAAGCGTTCCCCAAAAGATTTCCACAGCAGTCCGGAGAACACCTGGTCTGATAGCTTCGCGAATCTCTAGCTCCAAACGTTCGGCCATAGGGCTTCCAAGACGGCGAAGGTGGCCCCAAGATACACCCAAGACGGCCCCAGATGGCCTGAAGATGGCCTTGGACTGCCCAGAAGGCCCGCCGGAGGCCTCCAAGACGGCCCAAGACCCCTCCAAGACGTCCTCCAGGAGGCCCGAAAGCTCGGAATCCACCTGGTCCGATAGCTCGCCCGACTCCGTGTTCCCCCAAGGCTTTCGAAACCCACTCTGGGAACGCGTGGCCCGATAGCTTGGCCAAGCTCAAACCCAACTTTCGGCCACGCAGGCGCTTCCAAAAAGACAGGGGGCGGCGGTGATTCGCCGTAGGCATCTTCGAAAACGCCAACGTCTCAATATAATATGGTGATTCCGATGCGCCCCCGCATGATATTCCCAGATGCGCCGTACCACCCCCTGGATTAAAAAGTCCGGATCGGCACTGCAGGCCCCCTTGCATCGTCGCTCCTCGAGAAGTAAGCATGACTGGCACGAAATACCAAGCAGAGTCGCAACTTCCAAGCAACATAACTGGGACCCGAAATTCATTTGCGAGGAAGTCCCAAGCGAAATCGCAAATTTCCGGTCGCCACTGAGAATTTCCGGTCGCCTGGAAAGCGTCCGGAAATTTGTTGGAGGAAGTATTAGGCGGAATGCGGATTTCCGGTCGTCACCCCTTTTGGCGATTATAAGATTGGAGGGGGTGAAGATGGACCGGAAATTTAACCATGGCGGCCCCTGCAACATTGTACCGGGGCCCCGTGGCCTAACGGGAGCCGAACCTCAAGGCTTATTCCCCGACCTCTGCGGTCCGGACTTTTTATTCCAGGGGGTTGTAGCAGCGCCGAGACGCACCGACGCGACTCTGAGATATCCCATTCCGATGGAGAGGGGGCCTGCGGCAGAAGGCGAAGCCTGTACGGATATACATCGATATCTGTACACGCATACGTACATATATCTATATACGTATATACATACATACATACATACATACATACATACATACATACATACATACATAAATACATACATACATACATACATACATACATACATTACATACATATACACATACATGCATACATACATACATACATACATATATTTACATACATACATACATACATACATACATACATACAGACAGACAGACAGACAGACATGCATGCATGCATGCATACATACATACATACATACATACATACATACATACATACATACACACATACTTACGTACGTACGTACGTACATACATACATGCACGCATGCATGTATGCATGCATACGTACATACATGCAGACATACACACATACACACATGTATGCGCATGCATGCATGCATGCATGCATACATACATACATACATGCATACATGCATACATACATACATTCGTACATGCATACATACATACATACATACATACCTACATACATACACGCATGTATGCATGCACGCATGAATGCATACAGACATGCATACGTACATGCATACATACATATACGCACATACAAACATAGATACAACCATACATGCATGCATACATGCACACATACATACATTAATTGTATACATGCATACATACCTACATGCACACATACATACGTACATACATACATACAGACATGCATACATGCATACAAACATACATATAATGCCTGGGCGCACAAGGTATCGGGTAATCGATGTGGTACATGTACGTATGAGCCGTGCTACGTGGTGCAATGTAGGTGGTGCGCGTTGTGTGACGCAGGCTCTCTGGTGCTATCTACGCTTGACCACTTCTCCGCGGCGCGCCGTGTGGCACGATCTCTGCGGGGCAAGCTATGTCGTGCAGTCTGCGAGTGCCTCCGGCAACGCCAGCCAGCTCACGAGGCGCCCACGACGCGTCCCCGGGCGCCCCCCCGCTAAAAATCTGCCGCCGCCAGCCAGCGCACGAGGCGCCCACGAGGCGCCCACGGGCGCCCAGCGGGCAAGCAAGAAACCGAAGCAGCAGGCCAACGCGCGGGGGGCGGCCACGAGGCGCCCGGGGGGGGCGAAAAACAAGAACGGAAGGCCGACGTCTTAGGAGAGAAACAAGAACACCGCAGTGCAGACACGATGGAAACTCGATCGAGAAAGACGCAACATGAAGCCCACATGTGTGAGAAGCACATACAGTGTAACGACAACAAAAAAACATACGAAACCGACCGTCCGCAACAGGAACCAAACAGAAACCTGCACAGCAAGGAAGAGAATACCTAAGCATGGGAGGAACTAGACTCAAGCCCACATAAGAGAAACGAGCATGCTATTCCAACATGTCAAAACAAGAAGCATGGGAGAGGAGCTGCCAGAAATCAGCATAACATAATGGCACACGCAACAATAAATCTGTTCAAGAGAAAGCAGCTAGAATGGAACACAAAACGAACCAATCAAACGACTCTCCTTCACACGAAGACGGCACGATATGTCGCCCTCCCCCTTCAACCACAAGTGGCAGCCGCGGACCCGCTGGCCCTCCGGGGGCGGCGGGAGGCTCCTGCCATGCAGGCGTGGGCTCCTGGCTTCTCCCGCCGCCCGCTGTCAGAGGCCCCCAGGGGCTCCCCAAACCCACCTTTTGCACGGACTCCGCGCCGTGGGCTGTGGAAGGGACGAGTGTGCCTGAGAGCCCATCTGCATGTGCCCACCCCCTGGGGGGCAGAGCCCGACTAGGAGTCGGGCTGCCCCCCAGAGACGCGTGCGCCTGGAGGGCTGCGCACAGCGAGGTTAGAGGTACAGAGATGTGGGTGTCGCCACCGACGTGGCCGGCAAGAGCTTCACACGGGCTGCTGTCTGAAAGCAGCCCCAGGGCCCGACATAAGCCCCCCGAGGGCGCTCGACCTTGAACGCGCCGACGCGTCACGCGCCTGCAGCACACCCCTCCGCCCAAGCCAATCGATACTCGCAGGCGCGCGAGCGCGGCTGCGCGCGCGCGGCGCGTGCGGCGGCCTGCGGGTGGAGACCGCTAGCTGCGCCAGCTGCAGGTGGTGCGGCCCGCTGCGAAGCCCGGTTGCCGCGGAGGCGGCCCGCCCGAAACCCTGCGGGAAGGGCGCGGCGCCATAGATCACGGCGGCGACGACCACGACGGCAGCGACGACGGCGACGGTGACGACGACGGCGACAGCAGCAGCAGCAGCAGCGGCGGAAAGGAATTGGCAAGGTAGTGATGACCGACCGTCTGTAAAAACGGCAAATATTGTAACACGAGAGAGGTGCTGCATTGTACTGGGTCAATTGGGCTTACGTAAGTAACACCGCCGAATATCCCCAGACAATGCAGGCCCTTCAGTCTAAGACCCCCTCCTCGTCCTGCTCCTCATCCCCTCCAATTCCACATCCCTGAATATCCTCCTCCGACCCCTTCTGCTCCCTCCTCCCTCCTCATCCCCCTCCTCCTCCTCCTGCTCCTCCTCCTCCTCCTGCTCCTGCTCCTGCTCCTGCTCCTGCTCCTTCTCCTCCTCATACTGACGAAGGCGACGGCGACGGCGACAACGGACCCCCCCCATCTGCCCGACCTCGAGGTTGTGGCCGAGTGGGAGGCACCTGGCCGCGCGGCGGAGGGGCAGCCGGAGGACGGGGGGAAGGGCGAGCGGGGCCGGAGCAGAAGGGAGAACGGGGGGGAGAGGAGAACGGGGGGGAGCGGAGCCCGGGGGAGGCGGAGTACAGTCGGACCTGGGACAGGAGAAAATCCTTCGAGGACATGAGGCATGCCGCTGGCCAAAGCACACAGAACGGCCAAGGGTTCCTTCCCCAGGATGTACGACAGCATCCAACGAGTACGAACAACATCAGGGCACCCTCCCCGAACCGACCTCGATCTTCTACCTCGGTCCGACTGTAAGAGGAGGAGTGACTATTTGTTTGCGAGTTTGATGTTTGGTCTTGATCCTTAGATAACAACTCAGGCGACCCCTGCTCCGATTCAGTATTGAGCCCGGTCCCCCTCTTGGAACCTACGACACCTCCCGTCGAAACGCGGACGGACAGGCTCGAACCACTCTGAGGCTCTAGGGGCGACAAGACCCTGGGGGCGCCGCGAGTCGCCAGAGCCGCCGCTGTACCCGAAGGACGAGGGCGGGCCGCCAGACACTCGCGGAGCAGCGTGGCACGCGATGCGGTGAGCGCGACGCTGAGCGTGGCCTCACATGGGAGCGGATCTTGATTCGTTTGCGGCATGATAGGAGAGGGGGCAGAGGAGAAGGACGAGTAGGATGCTCATCGGATTCGTTCCGCATCGAGCGTGCCGTCCCAGGGCCGCGGAGCCTTGTGCTCCCGCCCTCCCTACCGCTGTATCCTGCTCCTGTCCGCGGCAGCTGTCTCAGCCTTGGGCGCCGCGCGGTCGCTAGGCCGCCGCACCCTCTACCGCCAGGGACCCTGCTCCTGTCCTGGCGACCTCCTCCTCCTCCTCCTCCTCCTCCTCCTCCTCCTCCTCCTCCTCCTCCTCCTCCTCCTCCTCCTCCTCCTCCTCCCTCCTCCTCCTCCTCCTCCTCCTCCTCCTCCTCCTCCTCCTCCTCCTCCCTCCTCCTCCTCTCCTCCTCCTCCTCCTCCTCCTCTCCTCCTCCTCCTCCTCCTCCTCCTCCTCCTCCTCCTCCTCCTCCTCCTCCTCCTGCGCGAGCCGCGGGGCGAGAAGCAGCGCCTTTCGGACCCCGCACACAAACGCAGCACCCGCGCGCGCGGGCGGCCCCGGCAAGCAGCCGGCGGCCCAGACGCGGCGGGGGGGCGCCCCGCGGCGCGGCGCGCAGAAGCGCAGCGGCTGTGTGCCGCGGCCGGGGCCTGCCCCTGCTCCGCCTAGACGCGGAGCCCTGGGCAGGCCGAAACAGATGACAGCCTCGGGGGTGGCGCCCCCCAGAAAGCTGCGCACCTCCCTGAGACTGGCTGGCGTCGAGCCGAGGCAGTGCCAGCCTCAAGGGTGAGTACCAGCTGCGTGCTGTATGTGAATCCAGTTCCCCCAGCCCTGGTCCCAGGCTTCCAACGCCCCCGAGTCTTGCAGCGCGTGGGGTTCTGGACCTCTCGACCCCCTCGTCGCTTGGAACTCGCCCGCAGAGGTGAGCTCTGCAGCCCCGGCCTGGGGCCCTGACCGCAGCGCCGTCCTGGGCTGTCCACTAGTCCACCAGAGCCCCCCAAGCCGGCCGAGGACCCGCGCAGGCGCCACCTGCCCCACCCGTCGGCCCGGGAAAGCACGCGGGTGCCGCTCACGTGTCGCTGTCGCCGTGCAGCCACGCCACGCCCACGCTGCTGCGCGGGCGCCCCTCGGGCCTCCCCATCGCAGCGTGGCAGCACGCCGCGCCGCCCGCGAGCCCGAGCAGCGCCGCGGCGCCCAGCAGGTCGTTCCACCACTCCCTGTCGAAGCTGTCCACCTACGAGGAGGCCAGGACGAGGAGAAATTCGGGCGAAGAGAGGACGGGAATCGCCGAGATCCGGCGGCTCTGGAGGATGCCTCGGGCGCCGCGGCCTTCTCAGAGCGTCCCAGAGCGCTCTGGGAGCGCTCCGGAACGCTCTGGGACGGATCGATCCTCGTCCTGTAGCCCTGTCTGGCCACCGCCTGGGCGGCGGCGGAGCGCGGCAGCTCGAGCCGGAGCGTCTGCCGGACGTCGGCGGACGAGGCGCCGATGTGCGCGTCGGCGGCGGCGGCGACCACCCACGCGCCGATCTCCGCGCTGTAGTACGAGAGGTCCCGCTGCGTCAGCCGGAACCGCGCGACCTCGCTGCGGCCAGGGTCCAAGAGGCCCGTCTTCCAGAAGCCGCGGAGGACGGGGGCCACCGCGTTCGCCTCGGCCCGCGCCATCTCCAGGTAGAGCTGCGGCACCGCCCTCGCGGGCCTCCAGCCCGCGTTCCTCACCTCCACCTCGACGCACACCACGGCGCCGCCCTGTGCGGGAGGCCCCTCCTCCTCCTCTGGCAGTGCCGAGCAGTTGACCTGGCCTGGGGGCAGGAAGTCGAAGTGGGTGTAGGTGAGCCCGTGCCCGAAGGCGAAGGCGGGAACGGCCTCCAGATTCCGGTAGCCCGTCGCGAGGCCCTCCGAGTAAGCGATCGTGCCTCCCGTGATGGGCACCGTGTCCTCCTCCCGGGCCGGGATGCTGACGGGGAGCCGCCCCTCCGGCGCCCTGTCGCCGAACAGCACGTCTGCCCAGGCGGCCCCCGCCTCCTGGCCGCCCAGGAACATCGCCGCGATGCCAGAAACGTCCTCGCGCCACGGCATCAGCACTGAGCCGGGTATCTCCAGCAGCACCACCGTCCTCTGCGCGTGCGCGCTGACCTCCTTTATCAGCGCGTCCATCCCGTCGTCCAGGCCCAGCCCGTCTCGGTCCACCGACTCGCCGGCAGTCGTGCCGGCAAAGATCAGCGTGACGTCCGCCTTCTCCGCCACGCTGATGGCTGCCTGGGCGCTGTTGCTGGAGTTGGCGGGCGTCAGCACCTTCACCCCCATCTGCGCCGCCCGCGCCGTGATGCCCTGCAGGGGGGTGGTGACCCTGCCAGCGGTCACGTGGCCGCTCCCGCCGGCAGTGTAGTAGTCCCCGGTGTGCCAGTCACCCTCCTGCTGGGCCGAGTTGCTGGGGTCGTACGGCCCCGCGGCCGCCACGCGCCCGACCAGCGCAACAGTCTTGCGCGGGAGGCGGTCCGCCTGCAGCGGGAGGATGTCGTCTTCGTTCTTGAGCAGAACGATGGACATTGCGGCCACCGCACGGGC